CACTGCCAGGCAGCGGCTGAATCAGGGACGCTTGGGGCAGAGCCGGACTATCGGAAGGGAGGGTTATGGGGGGTGTGGGGTGCCATCCCCTCCCACCCGAGACCCCTCATAGCCCCCCCTTCCGATAGTCTGGCAAATCTGATAATCCGGCACCCCCTGGGTCCTAAAGGTGCCAGATTATCGGAAGTTTACTGTATAGGCAATTTATACACCCTACCCGACCCCCAAAAAACAAAAGTGTCCCAAATTTTCACACTTGCTATCTGTGGGGGGTGTGGGGTGCCATCCCCTCCCACCCGAGACCCCTCATAGCCCCCCCTTCCGATAGTCTGGCAAATCTGATAATCCGGCACCCCCTGGGTCCTAAAGGTGCCAGATTATCGGAAGTTTACTGTATAGGCAATTTATACACCCTACCCGACCCCCAAAAAACAAAAGTGTCCCAAATTTTCACACTTGCTATCTGGTCACCCTAAGTATCAATTTTCCTCTGGATCAGAGTGTATTACAGGAACGAGAGATTCATTATATAACCATGGACAATTTAACTAGTAATCAGTTTCCCATCAGGTCCACTGATCACCTGTAATTTGAGCCCAGGTATTTGACACAGATTGTAGAATCCCATTTGAGCATTTTATGATTTTCCTTCACTTGATCTGTTAGTCCTGAGCCCACACATTCTATTTTTGAAATGGGAACTGAGTGTTTTCTCATGGTTTCTGCAAGTTGTCCTCCACAGGGATTGCATTTACAAAAGGAAGATGAATTTGTTCTCTTATCTTTAGTTTATTCAATCTTGTACTTACAATTTGGTTCATTAAATCAACAAAACTGACCTGAGTAACTAAGGGACTTACTATACAAGAAAATCCCACTTAATGCAGATTTCATGATCTATGTCATCACGAATTCGCTTTGACTCCTAGAGTGAATACTGGTAAATAATATCAGAATATATGCTGCAGAGTTTAAAAATGTTAACAAGGGCAGAGTCCCTGTGGCTAAAATGTTATAAAAATTCAATAACATCACAAGCTGATGACTAATGAGCCTGGAACCTCTGGTTGCTGTTTAGTGAAAACCCTCATTAATTTTTTACAAGACCTTTAGAAGACATGCCACAAAAGGATGGTTAATGCTTCCTCCAACTCTGCTGGCTGTCGGAGTTCAGAAGATGACTTCATTGTCTACATTGACATTCTTTCCTTCCTCTTTTCAGGTTGTTTGGTTTTGTCTTGCTTAAAATTTTCTACCGTGCCCATTGTAAAAAGGTCAACTGATAGTTCACAATCCAGCAGAGGAAAAAAATAGTCAAAAACAAACACATTGTCAACCATTTTGACCCTCACAGTCAGATTTTTTTTCTTTTGTTTTGGGTAGTTGAATGAGAGTTGTACATGGCAATGCTCTATGCTAAGGGTCCAGGTCCTCTCAATGTACTAAAGCAAAATTTTTCGTGTGCCCTTTAGAAATGTACAAGCTCATTCAATATCCTTATGACTGAGCACCATGATATATTTATTGAACATGGATGTGCAGCTTGGGTGTTTTTCTTTATGTCAATTAGGACAGCAAGATCAGACATTTTCACATGATTGCAAAATATACCTGGCATATTAAGGCAACAAAAGAAAAAATGGTATGTGAATTCTCCCAGAGTTTATAAGGCATCATTAATTTCTCACGTTATGATTAACGAGACAGTAATTGTGTAGGTTATGCTTGATTTATAAATGTATGCCATAACTTTGATTGCTGCTGGCATGCATATTGATGGGCGCACATATTTTGGTGATAAAATAAGGTCTTAACATTATTTTTAATAAATACATCATAAAAAGTCAGGTGAGTCTTGTTACACCAATCTTTGCTACTGTATTCTTGCACGACTGGGGCACTAAGCATTCCACCTGTCATAGGGACAGAGTCCATTGTGATTATTAAATCACATTTTAACAAGATTTTTTTCTATGGCTTTGTCTACACTATGAGTATTTGCCAGAAAAAGAGGGGTCTGCGCAAAACAGACACGTCCACGCTACCTGTTTTTGCGCAAAAGGCATCGGAGGAGATTATGCAAATGAAGTGTGACGATATGCTAATCAGCACTTCATTTGCATTGCCTCTCCTGGCAAAAACTCATAGTGTAGACAAAGCCCATGAATAGGAGCATTTCATGGGGAGGGAAGCCATCTATGGTGCAGCTTCTTTGCCAACTGTAGAAGACATTAGCCATGTGGCACGTAAAAGAAATTCTTTGATCGCCTATGGATCTAATATTGTGAGCTAAGTGGAACATAAATGTTGTGAGTTCAAGAACTATGAGTGAAACAAAACTTCTCAAAGTTACTTTTCAGTTCAAAATTCCAACTTTAATTCTGCCCACATTATTTGATATAAGTATGCCAAAATCAGTTTGTGATCTCATTCCAGCTGATGTGGACCTAGAGTAACTCCTTTAACACCAGAGGAGTCACTCCAGATTTTCACTAGTGTAACAGAATGCACAATGTAACATAGTGGTTTTTACTTTTAAAATCAGTGTTTAAATGTGAATTCCCAAGTTTAAGGACTATTGTGCATTTTCTGTACTGATCTTAGGTCCAAGTATTCCGATATTCTCAATTAAGATACTGAAGTATAATTCACTAGCTCAGTCCTTTTCTGTCTGCCCATGTGGCCTATAGCTATATGAATCCACTACCCAAAGTCCCTATTTTAAGTCAGCAGTGGCCACTATGAAATCTGAGCTATAGAAGTGCCTTTGGAGAATGCTTCATGCCCTGATGTTGGGAGAAGATCATTTCTCCCAATCCCCGGTGAGCTCCCTCTTCATAAATCCCATTTTTTATGGGTTTGCAAAAAGGACCAAGATTTAGACCTTAATGAGATATGACTATTTAAAAAAAGTCTTATCAGTATTGCATAGCATACATGATGCTCTGTGTCTGGCATAATATATCACACCAGTTAGCACACAATGAATCACAGTAAGTTCAGTCATTGATGTAAAAATGATTTTTTATGCCATGAACATAGTTTCTTTTTTTGTTTGTTTGTTTGTTTGTTATTGCCAGTGGATTTTTCTCTCTCATTCAGTTTTAAGTCAAGCTGACCTCTGAGGGGCTGGGGTTTAAGTTCCAAATACCAGGCTGCTCCACTTTTAAAAATGCTGAAACACTGGTCCTAATTTTTCAGTCTTGGGTCAGAGCTAGACATCTCACTAAGCTGCCTGATTGACAGAGATGTTGAATACCCACAGTTCCTGCTAACTACATTGGGAATAAAGGGTTTTCATCGCCCTTGAAAAATCAGGCTATTATATTGCAGTAATATCCAAAGGCCTCAATCAGATTTCAGCCCTTTGTGCAGTGCATCATACAGACATATAGGAAGAGAGACAATTCTCTGCTCTAAGGATCTGACAATCTAAAATACCGATTTTAAATTGAGACAAGGTACAACCAGATTGTGCAACAAACAAGGGATGATGAGTGTTCACAATGACATTGCCTAATTCGGGGCAACCAATTTTGAAAATTTTGGCCAATGACATTAGTCACTTGAATTTTAGACGTGTGTGGTTGAAGCAGCTACGCAGCACAATCACACTGCCTGTCCGACATGTTTGTGCAAGTATTTCCACCCCTGACAGCTCTGACTTTGAGCTGGTGCTGAAGAGTGCATATTACTTGATGCCTATGGCAACTGCTGTTGTAGAGAGGAAATTATACCAACCCCTGCAGTGCACCTCATATGTGGTAAATTCACTTAACAGCAATTTAGAAGACGACACCCTGGTGCTTTGCCAGTTTGAGGCAGATGGTCACTGAAGTTATTAAAATCATGCATGTTGCATGAACCTCTGAAAAAATCTCAGTGTTACAAAGTTTACTAGCATGATGGGGGTTATGTGTACATATATAAAATATATAAAAAATATTTGACGATAAAATACAGTATGATTCTCCACTGTTTAATTGTAATTTTTCCCCCATATCTCTTAGGTTCAACTAATCCACTATAACCATGAGTTGTATACAAATGTCACAGAGGCTGCAAAAAGTCCCAATGGCTTGGTGGTAGTTTCTATATTTATGAAAGTAAGTATTTAAATTTCATAAATATTATCTAGTGTTTAAATTATTGAGATTATTTTTCCATGAACAGAGTTTTAGAATCAGCCCTTTTCATCGCCATTTGTATTGTGTCAGGGGTGCTTTTGCTTCAGTCAGAGATCAAGAGACCCCATTATGCTAGGCACTGTGCATTCATTATGAAAGAGACTGTCCCAGCTCCACAGAGCCTGCAGTCTAATGGTGAAACATATCAGGTGAGGGAAAAGTTTTATGGGTATGGTGCAGTGAAACAAACATATTTGGTACAATAAGCAGCAGTTGTAGTAGTTTATAGTTTCACATTAAAATGCTCAGGGAAGTTATTAATACTGCAGATTTGAGGTATCTGTGTGAAGAGATGCAAAAGTGAGCATATAATTAAAATTAATCCTTTTCTCGTGGGTGTAAGGAGTAGGGAGAAAGAACATTTGCATTTTAGAAGAGTACTGGCTGGTTATAAATCAACAAATGAGTTTCCCTACCAATGTCATTTAATCTAAGGTTAAATCTTAGATTATACTTAAATCATCAAAATGAAAAGAGTCTTAAAAATCTAGATGTCTTTTAGAGTTTTGCATTTCACACAGGTGGAAGAACATATGATTATTATCCATTAGCCTTCATACCATCCACATTCCTCCACATCTATTGCTAATACTCAGAGCTCACTGTTTATTCAAATATTCTGAATTATACTTTAGAATCTTCTTTTCTTCTTAATTCAAGGCCTCCTTATGGTAATACATGTGTTGTACCATTGTGAATCCTACACTTTGCCTTAGTGTTTACTGCAAAACATTAGCTGTTTCTACGAGGGGAGCAATGCTCTGATTTACTCTGCACCTCAAAGAATCTAGCCAGAAATCATATAGGCAATCTTCTTTTTAAAAAATCCCTTTTAGCACTCTGGTCTGAATTAATAAGGATCGGGCTTACACACCAACCTCATATCTAAAATATGTATTTCACCAATTATTTTGGAAAGTTGGATCCCCTTGCTGCCTTTTGTACAGCTCTAATACTTGAAGTATTTGTCAGAAAGATCATCTGGTTATCTCTTTCATCCCTAGTGTGTGAGGTGAACCCTGTGAGTTAACTGTAGTTTGTGAAAAGGAATAGAACTGAACCATCTCGTGGACACTGCCCACAATTTTCAGTTCTATATGAAACGGAACTTGTTCCTGTGTACTACTTTAATTGCACACCTAATGAAATGAGTAATGTGAAGTGTAGAACTAAATTTGTTGTTTCCCTTCACGCAGGTACTACATGGTCTTTGTCTTCCATGTGCACTGACTGCCCATTTTTTGTTTTGAATGTCGGAGGCAGCGTAATTCATTCTCTGAAATAATTGTGCCTCGAAGTATACAAAGTGTTTGATGGCCACTGAACATACCTAGTGCCAAATATTTCAGTATGTTTAAAACAATTTCACAGATATAAGCATTGAATGGACCAGATCCTGTTCCATATACCACTCAATCTGTTCTGGCCCTGGCCACCTCTTAATATTGGGAGATGTGCTGATTCTGGGGCAAATCTCCTGCTTGAAAAAAATCTGTGGAAACTCAGTGATAAGGATTTCTGAGGTTACCTGTCCCCACAATGGTGAGGATCCAGAAAAGAATGTTTCCAGTGCTTGGGAGCTTTTTGGAGGTGGGGCTCTGGTTCAGACCCGAAATGGTTATATTACAATATATTATATTTCCAAGCTTCATAATAAATTCATTTCCAAAACTGAATGTATCACAGCAGCATCCGTCCAATTACTAAGAAATGTAATTCGGAGAGGACAGGACAGCAGGGCGAATCAATTAAGATACCAAGAGGTCAGGTTCAGAACCAACCAAGCTACATAAATGTGACGTATAAATAGGAGTATAGAGGGCATGGCCCAAGCAAAATATCCAAGGCTGTATAGCAAAAATAAATTGCTAATCCATGTCATATTCTGAATATTAGGCCTCTGCACTATGGAATTCAGTCAGACTTCTCTTGCAGCTTGTGTAACCTGGCACTTGGAATCTCACTGTTAACGTATAATTCTAAATAAAATATAAAAAAGACTAGCAATAGACACGAGAGAGAGAGGAGACTGGTGCATGAAATCTGAAATAGGATCCATAGAAGATGTCACATAATATGACACAACATATTCTATGATAGAATACCAAGTACAGTTCTAATCACCTATAAATCCATCCAATTCAATGACGCTGAGATCAAAACTATATTTCACATCTTTATCCACATGTTAACTTTTCCTTCTCTTTTCCATTAAATTTATTCCTAGAAGCAAACTTTCTGACCACTTCTGGTAGAGACATTTTCATCTATAGCTGATTTTTCCTCTCCCCACAAAAGTTACAATAAATGCAGAAGTTCTGCACACAATCACGTGTGCTTTTTTTCATAGTTTTCTTCCTCTCTCTTTTTGTACACATACATAGATACAGACACAAGTTATATTTCCTGAAAGTTGATGCTTGTAATAACAAAGTTTTTGACATTATTCATTTTTCTCCCTTAGGTATCTGAATCATCAAATCCGTTTCTAAATCGCATGCTAAACAGAGACACCATAACAAGAATAACATATAAAAGTAAGTTTATTCACCATGATTATCTGCTGCATGTAGTTAAATGTAAAAGCATATATTTTGTGAACCACAGGGTGTGAGACACATTAAGTAATAGACAAAACTACAAGGCTTGTTTCTGTTGCCAGTTATCATTCCCAGCTGACCTGGTGATCAATATGAAGAAGTTAAGGTATTAACTTTTCTGAGGAGTCCCTGTGGGATGGTAGGAAAAAGTTGTGTGTTCCCTTTGCTGATTCTTCAAACGTAGTAGAGCCATCGAGCCATCAGACTGTAGTATAAATTCATGTGTTGTGCTTAAAGGAGCAATAAATTAATCAGACTAAATTCACCAAATATACATATTCTGTTTTTATATGGTGGACATTACATGTGGATTTTTATGAAATGAGAACATATTTTATCAAATGAAAACATATTTTAATTCACAAAATATTACCCAATTCTGTGATTTACCATCATGTATTTCGAGAACATAAGAATGGCCAGGGTCAGACCAAAGGTCCATCTAGCCCAGTGACCCGTCTTCTGACAGAGGCCAATGCCAGGTGCCCCCCAGAGGGAATGAACAGAGCAGATAATCCCCGAGTGATCCATCCGCTGTCACCTATTCCCAGTTTCTGACATGCAAGGAGCTGTTTCCCGTTTTCTTTGATATTCAGCCATGGTTTCTTATTATTAATTGTGTGTACAAATATGGTATTTTCACTGAATGGCTACTGCATCTAATGGAAATAGTATGAAGAAGTCACAAAAGTAAGTATTGTACCCTTGCTGAATGCGGAATGAATTTAATTGATCGTGTTCAGTAATTCCATACCAATGAATGGAAACCTGAAGCTTAAATGTCAGCTACCAATGAAGGTAAGTTTAAGGCAAGAAAAATATACATGTCTTGATGGAGCAAATGAAATCTCCTCTCTTGGAAATCCTAGACGCATTTTGTTTTTAAAATCTGAAAGTGTATGTAGTTCAATTGTTAACTAGGGGACTGGCAATAAGGAATCTTGTGTTCTCTTACCATTCTTTGGCATTGGTCAAGTTAGTTAAGGTATCTGTGCCTCGGCTTCCCCATCTATAAAATTAAATTTACCACCATCTACCTCAAAGGGGGTTAGGATTAATTTTAAACCTTAAAGTCTGGCAAAACTCATTTGCTTCAGGCTGATCCTGAAATTCCAAGGCTGTCTGAAAGATCCATTGAAACAAAAGACAGAACTATGTAGCACTTTAAGACTAACAAGATGGTTTATTAGGTGATGAGCTTTCGTGAGCCAGACCCACTTGGGGGTCTTCCACAACCTCCCTGGGCAATTTATTCCAGTGTTTGACTACCCTGACAGTTAGGATAAATCTCAGCACAGAAATAAAGGCATTAACTTTTCTGCGGATTCCATATGGAATGGTGGGGAAGAGATGTGTGTTCCCCTTGCTGATTTTCCAAATCCCAAAGTATGGATTCTTGGGACAGCAAAATATTCTTCAGGGTCAGACAGACATTTGGACCATGCCACAGAGGAAGCCCTTCCATCTCTCCATATCCCCCTACCAAATCCATGGGAGGGATGCTATTTCTGTGTAGTGTGCAGATACCATGTTTCTTTAACCTTTCAGCAATTAGCTTTCCTTTTCTCTGAAAACAGAGCTTGAACTATATCTGTTCCAATCACATTGAATTTAGGTCATGAGATGAGATATGAGTTTAGGCATTAAAGTGAAAATGCAAACTGTAGGTAGTTTTAGATTTCATAGTCAAACGTTATTGGACCTCTTTTAAAATTTGAATTATGGTTAATATTGACTCACACAGCTATTAAAATCAAACTATAAATAGATAACACACAGTGCACAATGTGCTGCCGCAGTACAATGAGTTTACTTCCTGCAGTAACAAGTATTGATTAGAAGTGGTTTTAGTGCAAATTGAGAATGTGAAAAAGGTATTGAAAGTAATTTTGCAGTTGCCTTGGGTGATGGATTATAGTGTCATTGCTGAAAAAAATAATTTTACTCCATATATTACAAGAATTTCTGTCCTGCTTTTAACAGGTGGGATTTTTTAACTTGCGCTTTAGAGATTCACTACTACAGCTTGGTGAACTCTTAACAAAATAACCAGTTGCAATTACTTCTGTAGGAACATGGCCAGAATGAGTAGTTCAGATGGGGTACAAAGTCAGGTACAGTAAGTGAGAGAGTTCAAGCAATGATTAAAGAAGCAGTAAGAGATGTTTAGTGTGTTATATGTCCAAGGACAAACTGGGTCAAAAGGGGAATGTGCAATACAAGAAAATATTAATGATTAAAATGGACGTAACTTTCCCCTTTGGAATATTCTTCTGCCACTGGCTCAGTACGAAGAATTGGATCTGAACAGGTTGAAATGGCTGCGTTTTTTTTTTAATAAATTTAGGAATTATCTGAATATCTCTACAAAAAATTACTTTAATATTAAAGTTTAAAGTAAGGCAATTGAGAGGCTAAAGATGGTTTTCTTTTCTTTTAAAACAGCAATATGATTTTAAAAACTGAGATATGCCACGTTAGTTTGCCGGTAGAGGAGCCCACACTTTCCTTAACGTTAGATAAAACAAGCACTTAAGCTTCCAGTGATTCTGTGCAGAAATTTGGTCTTCATGTGCTGCCGAGAAGCCATCTGAAAGGGAGAAGTTATCAAATTTTAGACTTACTGCCTCAAATTTAATCCTTAACACTTAACTGCCTCACTCAAATAAATACTCAAATAAGTATTCCAGTTTTCATTGACTCAGTCTGCCCTGTCCCACTCACCTAGCCCTGCACTGCCTCCCAGCTGCTAGCTGAGCACGGCTGCCTGGGCCATGGTTGCTCTAAGGCTTCCGTGCCAGGCTCCATGCGACCCTCCCACTGTGCAGAGAATCTCTCTTCTGTGTCTCCTCCAGTGCCTCCTAGTTGGCTGAGAGGCAGGGCAGGACACACCTCTCCCAGCAACCATGGGGGGAGGGGAGGCACTGAAGGAGGCACTAGCCCCCAGAGCCACTGCGGCCTGGCAGCTGTTGGTGGCATGGCACCGGGCCACAGCCCGGCAGTTGGGAACTGCTGCTTTTAAAGAACACTGTATTCTGAGTAAAACATCACCCTAATTAACCAGACTCAAAAACCCAGGCTTGCTCCCACTGAAGTCAAAGGGGATTTGTCTCTGACAACACTGGGATTAGGTCCTACCGTTTTAGTGTATTGCATTTTTAATTTCATAAAGGGAAGTAAGTGGCTTAAGTAGTTTCTTAAAGATTTTGTTGTGTGTGGTTCTTGCTAAGAAGGAGGGGATTAGGAAAATCAGTGTAACAAATGCAGAGAAAAGAATGAGAATTTCTCCATCCGTTAAGAAAATTGTCAGAGTCAAGACCTTTATGTAAATTAATGTGAAAGCTAATGAAATGTAATTTGTGTAGAGAAAAGTTCATGAGTTCAGAAATTATCCTGAGGCATAAGCAGCTCAAGATAAACAGAGTGTGGGTTGCAGATAGGAATGATGCTTAGCGTTTAACAAAGTTTGAAGGTGATCATTAAAGAAAGATATTGACAAAGGATGCAGAGAAACCTCACCCAGAATAACTTTTAACATTATGAAGTCTATACCTTCAATAAAAGTTAGACATTTAAAAAGACATCACATTAAAGGGTGGTGATCAATTACTATTGAAAATGCAAGATTTTTGTTACAGTCTTACAAGAAAATAAACTTGACTAAAATATGGAAAAATGGTGACGGTTCAAGGCAAATATTCATAAGGGGCCACAGGCTATAGGGTTGTTGTTTTTTTCCAGACCACATTCCTATGCCTCGGTTTCCCCATCTGTAAAACTGAGACAGTGCTTCCTTCCTGCAAGATTTTGCCCATTTTCAGTTGTGTGTGGACCAAATAAAGACCCAGCTGAATGTTTGCTTTTTGAGGAGCTAGAATATTTTCTTCCAACCCTTCGTTACTCTTCATCCCTCTCCTGAGGCGAAACTTTACCTCTTCTTTCATTACCCATGAGTTGCTATTTAGAGGGTCTGTAGGTACTGTTCATTTTCTTGCCATAAACATGCTCCAGATGAAAACAGATGCAGTGAACCCGATGTGGAAGTGGTTCCATTGCTCAGAGTTTCAAGTGGAAAAAATAGATCACCACTTAAACATAATTTAACCTAAACATAATTTAACCTAAACATCAATGTGGGCAAATAATTCTCACATGAACGGTTCAGCCCCAAAGAATCAGACTGTATCTTGCTGGATCCTGAGATGCAAACAAGGCAGTATGGGGCCTGATCTAGAGGCCAGTAAAGACAATGGGAGTCTGCCTAGGGCGCCGCTGGCCCGGGCACCCGATGATGACGTCACGGGATGCCGGAGCGCCCCATGATGACGTCACGGCCATTGATGGCCGTGCAGGCAGAGGCGCCGCAATCAGCGCCCCGCGTAGGGTGCCAGCTGCTGCATCTGGCCTCAGGCCGCTCCTGGCTTTGCATCAGACTCAACAATCCCAAGTTTTCCACTCACTGGGCCCCACGACCTGGTAGATAGCTCATTTCTAACTGATTACATGAATTCAGAGTGTCACCCAGGCCAGGCTTCGTCTGTGCTGCAGTGTTTAAACTTTTACTTCCATTCGTTATAGAAACTCTGTGCCTGTTCACCTCAGTGTCTGGTTTTTGATGATCTAAACCCGTGGTGGGCAATCTGCAGCCCACGGGCCACTTGAAGCTTCTTGGGATTCTATGCATGGCCTGAGAGACATTTTGTACCATTGCCCACATGCAGGGTTGATAGATTCTGCTAGTGTCGTTTCATTCTCAGAAATGCTTCCAGTTCCACGCGCAGGGCCAGGTAGGCAGGCAGAGCTTCAGAGTCTCAATGCGCGGATGAGACGATGGCGTAAGGAAGAGGGGTTTGGATTTAATAGGAACTGGGGATACTTTTGGAAGAGGGGGAGCCTATACAGGAAGAATGGGCTCCACCTAAACCAGGGTGGAACCA